TTTTCCTTAAAGAACAAAGCATGTGTTTGCGGGGAGCAGGCCGTGTGGTGCACGTTGACTGAATATTTAACCGTGTTAGCCACTGTACCTGAACCCGTGTCTGGTCGTCTTGACTCTGTATTACCATCTGGTGGATAAGGGAAGTCGGAAGGTTGCCAGCTGACATTCCAACTTAGGCCATGCAGTCAGCCCAGCGTGTGTCTGTGCGTCACATTGCTGACTGATGAGCAGAAAGTCAGACTGTGATGACTTCTCCTTAGAAGCACATTAGCAGATGCGAGATCCGAGCCCCCTACATGCATCGTGCTCAACCCTGGTGTGTGCGTTTGGGGCAAGATCGTATGCTTGAGGTGAGCAGACGGGCCATATAACCCTGTCACCCACTGCGCCAACACTCCCTGCAACAGACTGCAGAGTGGTTGGGCAGCGGACTGGTGTCCGAGAGTAGGAGAAGCGAATGAGGTGGACGGCATCAGCGCAAATCGCCCATTATAAACAATCAAAAGATCTTAAATTTTTCACGGCCCCCCGAAGCATTGGCTTGGAAAGCTATCAACTAACAGGGTAATTCTGACCGCACAGTCAGCCCAGTGTGTGTTTGTGCGGAGTAGCCGGTTGGTGGACTAGGAGTCAGGCTGCAATGCCTTGATGTTGACTCTGTGTCACTCTCACTCAGTGGGATCCGAACCAGGCGTGACGGCACGCCTAAGTGCGGCTTCGGCCGTGCCAGCTACCCTTTTGGTGTTGGTTACCAATCTGGTGACGTACGCTAAGTCGAGTTTGCGCTGTGCTAGACACCTGCGTCCTCTCCCACATCTGGTCTTTTTGACTCTATGATGACGCCGGTTTAGGTGAGGGATGAGAAGAGAGTGTGGTAGATGTTGCGCAAGTCTACTATCATTACTTACTGATTTACGCGCAAGTCACCGTGCCTGCTTTACCTCGTCGTGAAGCACACAGTAGGCATCACCAGAAACGGCGGTCGAACTGTCGCTGGGTGAGGAAAAAGGGAGTGCAGTACATGTCGCTCAAGTCTGTTATCATTATGAACCAGTTAGCGCGTAAGCTGCCTGCGCCCAACCATGTTAGGGAAACACGGTGGATATCGTCACATGTGTCGGTGGAGCTGTAATGATAATGATCTGATCATCTTTCTGGGATCTTCAATAGCCATAAAGTCTGCAGAACACATTTGCTTAGTCGGTTTCTGTCCTTAGCATGGTATAAAGATCCTGACGAACTGGGTACTGCGCTGCATTACTTGGTCCTTTACTCCAGAGTGTCTGTAAAATTTTCTGGTGTGGCGCCTTCTGAATTAAAACCTATTTAACGAATGGAAAGATTGAATCCTAGTTCACTGAGAACTCGGCGGTATATAGTTTGATGTCGTGCTCACCACTTCCTTGGAATTCGATTGTGGTTTCTGACAACCTTGTCTCCTCATGCGATCTCCTTGTCTTTTTACCTCCTAAAAAGACAATAATTGTTCTTTCCAGAAAATTACTTAAGCAGTCATTGAAGGCATCACTGGACTCGGCGTTACGATCGCTGTGGACAGCCATGATGGCTATGCCTATCGTCCTTGTTCAAGGTCCCATTACGTTAGGATCATTAATCTTCGTAGCCAGCGGTTCCAAACACGTTGACTTGCAGCGGCTCAGCCGATTTCAACTCGGAAGCAGATGCGCATACAGAGCCGCGGCTGCCCATGCGCCACTCAAACGCACCCACATCTTTGACGAATGCAACATAGGCTGCTTGAACACCATTCCTCGGCAAATGCAACATACACCATTTGGACGCCACCTGAGCCTGCTCCCCACAAACCCACTTAAGCAGCAGCCACCACTGTCTCAATCTTAGGCATGACACGACGCCGTCAACGCTAGTCATGGCCTTGTCAGCGACTACTGTGCCCGAGAGGACAACTTAGGGTACTGTGTACAGCAAACCCCATTAGTCTGGTGACCTCTCTCTTTTCCCACAACTCGGGATTTGGCCTGACGATTGCAGCGCTCAGCTACACACTACTCAATGGCTGCAGTACACATTTTAAAGCGGAAATCATGATCAGCGTTATAGGAAACCATTCTGGCAACGCAGGTATTAGCTAAAAAGCCCGGACACGTGTTTTAACGCTGCATGATATGGCTGCGAGGGATTCGGCTCACCAGTGCGCCCATAGACCTTAGTTTAAACTGGCTTACTCCAAGTTAGCAGTTAATTTCCGAGGAAATTAAAAAGCAACAATTATAATCAGTGGCTAGTATTTTTGCCATTTAGCTTTAACAATTTCCTGCTGCCTCCATACTTAAATCTGTTTCAGCCGGTGGTAGACAATGTAAGACAGTCAGCGTAATTTATAAATCGCAACTGTTTGTATCACACTGTCATGCATGCGCCAGCAGTAACTAATGAAATTTTGCGATAGGTATTTCTTGGATGCTTTCAGAGGGAAAGATTAGTCAATGTTTTTTGTCGTCTTCCTATGATGGCCAAAGACATTATTTGAATTAAATGTAATTTCTCCACAGACCCATCTTTAAGATGTTTCGATCACATATTTCGTCATATTTGCAGAATCGTCCAGATGCTCGTTTGTGAATATGTTTGAATAGTTTGTTCTTATTTCGGACTATGTTCCCGGATGTTACGTCATACAATCTCCTTCTGTTCCAAAAGCACTATTAAGTTGTCAGTTTTACTTTTCATACATATCTGATCGTTTCATCTGTCGGAGTTGAGTACGGGAATCGACAACCCTCTACTGTTCGTCATTTCAGCGAAATAACCGTCTCCTATGTTGGAAGAGGGTTCTGGCACGATTGCGTTTGTGACTAGTAGGGTGGTTGCTCCGGAAGTGGAGGATGGGTTTAGTATTAGCTGCCTTACGGTAAACCGTCGTCTTTACATTCCCGTCTGTCAGTTTTGTAACTTGTGCGCCGAGGGAGGACAACTGATTGTTGACTTCTTCCTCCATAGCAAGCTATATGTATGGAAAAATTAAGTCCAACAATGCCTTGAAAGTCTATACATCTTTCCATTTGACGATGACGAACGCGTCGTCGACGTATATGGTCCACAGCTTATGGAGTACGAGCTGAAGACCAGTTGCTCGAGTCTCTGCAAAACTGCTTCAGTGATTAGTCTAGACAGAGGCGAGCCCTTCTTTTGCTCGTAGATCTCAAGCGGCTGCAGCGGCAAAGTGACCGGACGCATGAGGCTGACAGAAGGGCTGCATGGCAAAGCCGCAACGATGATGATCACAGGAGCGTGCTGCCACGAACACTCAATCAGCTAATTTACTTTCTGCGGTCTGTAGGCAATATAATCATATGTGATTTATCCACTGTTGAAGGAGCATAATGGTCTGAATGCAAGCTGGGATGCTTCTTTTTCGGCTTGCCATAAAGGCACACCCATCTGACTGAAAATAGAGTCAATCCCAGTCAAAAACACAAATTGGAAACGCAACTGTCATCGCGTTAAACTCATTGACCAGTCGGCACAGGGCCTAACTATCAGATCATCGTATTATGTGATTGCGGTATGATTGGCTGACGATGTAAATCACGCGACATATGGTTATTCCAGTGTTAAATGATTTTGTGAGAACTACCTATTGCTGAACGTCATGTAGCATAGGTTATATAACCCCATTGTCTTTAATACACAGAACTACCTACTATATTTGTTTTAGTAGACTCTGTTTAAGTTATAAATTCCTAGTAACACATCTTACCGTTTCCTGAATGGCAACTCGTCTCCATGTGGAGCGTTCTAGAACGTAGTTCAAAGTGAAAAGTCGAACCTGAATTCCGTCCCACGCTCGCGCTAGATCGGAAGTGTCGCATCTTAATGGCTTCGGTGGTTAAACTGGCTCTGATATTTTATGTATTCGGAGCATGGAGGTCAGACCGCGAAGGAGTAAACTATAACCAGACAGGTTGTGGGCGCACTTCTTATTAGTACGGAAATATAGACTTCGCCAACAACACCTTACGGTCATGCTGCAACCGCAGAACCACAAGTTATGGAAACAGAAGGTGGACATAAGATCCCAGAATTTAGTGCCTGAGATCATGAGACTCAGACGCTGCAATACCTACATGCTGACAGTGACTGTTCGACCGTCGTTTCCGACGATGTCTGCCGTGTGTTCCACTACAAGGTGAGGTAGAGACGGTGACTTGAGCGCGAATTAGTTTACAGGGATAGTTGACTTGCGCAGCATCTACGGCAATCTCTCCTCCCCCACCCCCCAACCTGTGCCCGGACGGAGTCAAGAAGACCGGAGGTGGGCGAGGAAGTAGATGGCTGGTAAGGCGTAAACTCGCGCCTGGGTGTGCCACCAGACCACCTAGTTCACAGGGGGACTTTATTCAAGACAAAACAGAGACGGTTCCGAGCCCAAATGGCGCGGCGAACGCCCGCACCTGGGCCTACCAGCACGCTCCAGTGTTGGCAATTGTTATGAGTACGCATTACTGATAACGCCTGCCGAACCCAGATATAACCCTTGTGGTGGTCTGTAGTGGCCCTACTCCCGGCGCCAGACGTGCCATCGTCCAGGCTGTCAACCCTCTCCAACCTTGAAGAAGGAGAAAAGAGCTTTATTAGCCTGACGTTTCGGATTCCTACTCGAATCCATCATCAGAGACAAAAAAAGCAGAAACGGGTGGTTGTTGCACAAGGGGCTGCGGTATTTATAAGATGCAGTAGCCATGCTACCGCATACCTATGGACATTCACGGCTCCCCCCTTCATCCGGGATCGTCGCACTTGGTGTGATCATTGCTTGATGGCCGACATTCGAGTCGATAATTGCTGCAATTTCATCACGTGCGTTGGATGTTGGCGTGATGATTGCCCGACCATCTGACGCACCGACCCCGGTGTTGGGAAAAGTGTTCACCTCTGCGCTCCCCGCATGGCTTGTTATTCCGCCTAGGCGAAGTTCCAGTACGGAGTATGGAATGGGAAGATCTTTGCACTTGTTGATGGACTGGGGGCCAGTAAACCATGAAACGGAGAACCGTCTTGGACACGCCCAAGTCCTTCAGCTCCTGAAGCTCTGTCTCAGGACGTACTTCACGTTCGACGGGCCAATCTACGAACAGGTGAAGGGCACACCAATGGGTTCGCCGATTTCGGGATTCATCGCCGAGGCGGTCCTGCAACGGTTAGAGTCGCTGGTATTCCAACACCACAGACCGAAATTCTGGGCCCGGTATGTGGATGACACCTTCGTCGTCATCGAACGGGATCAGGTGTTGACATTCCAAGAACATCTCAACGCCGTCTTCCCGGACATTCAATTTACGATGGAGGAGGGAGAGAAGAACCAGCTGGCCTTCCTTGATGTCCTCGTATGCCACAAAGATCGTGGTGAACTAAAAGCCGAAGTGTTCAGGAAAGCGGTAAATACGATGCAAGTACTGAACTTCAACAGTAACCACCCAATCAGCCACAAACGCAGTTGTGTAAGGACGCTCTATCGGCGTGTCGAAACGCACTGTAGTGAGCCGGAAGACAAAATTGCCGAACTACAATACCTCCGACGGGTATTCAAAGCCAATGGCTACCCGCGCAACTTCGTCGACCGGTGCATACGCAAAAGGGACGAAAGGCCTAACCGCACGGACACCAAATCTTGGCGGGCACTACCGTATGTCAAGGACGTTTCGGAAGCTGTCGGCCGCCTTCTCGCACCACTTGGGGTTGGAGTGGCACACAGACCGGAGGCAACCATCAGGCATCTGGTCATGAAACGGAAAGATCCACTGCCACGGCTAGAAACGTCTGAAGTTGTTTATCGGATCTGGTGCAGTTGCGGACAAAACAATTACGTCGGAGAAACCGGAAGACAGCTCCGAACGAGAATGGCCGAACACGCGGCAGCGGTGCGCAGAAGTGACGCCAGCTCTCAAGTTGCGGCTCATTCGACGAGATCCGGCGGCCACACATTCAACTTCGATGAGGCCGAAATTCTCGCAAGAGGTGACAACCGCGTGAGTCGGGAGCTACTGGAATCATGGTTTACTGGTCCCTAGTCCATCAACAAGTGCAACGATCTTCCCATTCCATACTCCGTACTGGAACTTCGCCTAGGCGGAATAACAAGCCATGCGGGGAGCGCAGAGGTGAACACTTTTCCCAACACCGGGGTCGGTGCGTCAGATGGTCGGGCAATCATCACGCCAACATCCAACGCACGTGATGAAATTGCAGCAATTATCGACTCGAATGTCGGCCATCAAGCAATGATCACACCAAGTGCGACGATCCCGGATGAAGGGGGGAGCCGTGAATGTCCATAGGTATGCGGTAGCATGGCTACTGCATCTTATAAATACCGCAGCCCCTTGTGCAACAACCACCCGTTTCTGCTTTTTTTGTCTCTGATGATGGATTCGAGTAGGAATCCGAAACGTCAGGCTAATAAAGCTCTTGTCCCGGCGATCGTGTCTGCTTCTTCAAGACTTCTTCCTGGGACTCCTCTCCAACCCTTTATCCAGTTATTCCATACAGAATACATTTTCTTCCCAACTGGCGTCCATCTTATCTTTCCATTCAGGACCGGACCTGAGGGTCCTGGTAGCCTGGGTCTATCTCGCGGCCTCGGCCTCTACGATTGGTCCAGAGATCTATCGCACGACTCGTTTTAGGGATTTGAACTTAAGGCTGACCTTAGGTATACATAGATATACAAGATCATTGATTAATTAGTACGCAATGGTCGGCGTAGGTTGTAAGTTGGAACACGATTGCACGGTGAGTGTAATCGGATCTCCGTTCTGAATAACCTGCTGGTAGATGCGTCCGCAAGGCAAACTACCCATCCTTCGTCCCCCCTCCCTGAAGAAAACAGTAGGAGCCAATTAAATCCAGACTGCGCGGCGTGTGTGCACGCGTGCGTGTATTCGCAGATGGTTAACAGCTGTGCGATCTGCAGGTGGCCGGCATCCGATCAGTCGTGGCGGTTGACCAGGTGTGTTTTGTCCCACTGTCGAGCGCCCATTGGCACTGGCTGCGGCAGAAGCTGCGGCTCTTCTGAAGCAACGCAGCACGATAACCCGTAAACAGAGATACTGTACTGAACCTGTTTTGTTTGGTGAAAAACTTGGGAGTTGCGTGGGGGCCAGATTGTGTGTGGCCTTTGTGGTCTGCCAGTCACTGCGCCCCATCCGCCACCGATCTACCTGACTGTGTCCTGGCATCGGGTACAGGTGGGATAGAAGGAGGTAGTGCGGTAGATGCTGCGCAAGTCTACTCTCATTATAAACTAGTTCACGCGCAAATCACCATCCTGCGCCCACCATGCGCTCCCCTTGTGGCTAATTACCCTCTGCCCATGCATTTCGGGGGAATGATGTGATTGATTGGCCACAAGTGTGTTGACGCGCACACGTTGGAGCTATCGGACATACAGTCGTCGGAGCTCCGAACGCGAATGGTGAGCACGCTGCAGCGGTGCGGATAAATGACGCCAGCTCTCAAGTTGCGGCTCATTCGACGAGATCCGGTCACACATTCAAGTTCGACGAGGCCAAAATTCTCGCAAGAGGTGACAACCGCGTGTGCCGGGAGCTGCTTGAGTGATGATTTACTGGTTCGCAGTCCATTAACAAGTACAAAGATCTTCCCCTTCCGTACTCGGTGCTGAGACTTCGCCTAGGCGGAGCAATTAGCAACGCAGGGAGCGCACAGGTGAGCACTTTTCCCAACACCAGGGTCGGTGGATCAGATGGTCGAGCAGTCATCACACCAACAACCAACACACGTGATGAGATTGCAGCAATTAACGACGCGAATGTCGGCCATCACACCACGTGCAACGATCCCCGATGAAAGGGGGGGGGGGAGGCGTGAATATTCGTAGGTATGCAGTAGCATGGCGACTGCGTCCTATAAGTACTGCAGCCCCTTGTGCATGAACCACCCGTACCGACTTTTGTCTCTGATGATGGGTTCGAGCAGGAATCCGAAACGTCAAGCGAATAAAGCTCTTGTTCCAGCAACCGTGTCTCCTTCATCACGACTGCTTTCTGGGACTCGTCTCTTCGCTTCTGTTGGCAAGTGCCTTCTGCTATCCTCTCCCTAAGGCAGTAAACAGATTTTCTTACAGAAAGAGCTTGAAGTCCGCCAAAGCATCGGCAAGTTCTACTCTTCACGTTGGAGCCTCCACAGCAAGCCAGATTGAAAACATGGAAAGCCGTCGCGCTTATCTCCCCTCCCTGCGCATTTAAGTCTAGCCTACCAATTACTGTTAAGCAAGAGAACGTCCGCGTTTCACCTCATTTACAGTCAAAGCAAGTAACAAGAAATTCCCAGCACTCGGGTTCTACTGCTGACGAAAGTGCTCAGCACTGTTGAAATGGTGAAGCTGTTGGAGTGGTCGTGCAACGATGTTGCGGGGTCTCATAGATCAAAAGGACAGAAACATAGTCGCGAAAGCTAGTAGAAGGCTCCGGTAATAGGTCAATGCATTAACCAAGAGACCGGGGTTTCGGGAAGTTTGACCAACAACGTTCCACGCATGCCTCATCATTCGTAGAAAAGTCTACGCTCTGCCTGGAACCAGGCCCAACATCTCCAACTTGGGGGTTGCGGATGCTTGATTTGCATAACTGACGCTGCCATCTTCATCCTGCGTTGGCCGAACTTTGTCTTTCAACCTCGGCTTGCTTCCCGGGGCCGCACACCCTTACCCAACCCTGACTTCGCTACTCGATTCCTCACCACGGGCAAACATATCGATCTGCCGTCTTTTCTCCTGACTCCTTGCCATTGTTGACTTCCTCGCAGATTCCTATCCTTTGATCAGCTAACGACTGCACATTAGGGCCACCAAGGCATCTTCCATTGCTCCTTCGGTCCCATCATCTTGCATCTGTTCGTTTCACTGCAGCATAGTTGTGCTGCGATTGGGATTTCGGCGTTAGTTTGACTAACTATGAACCTTCCCACTGCAAATGGTTCGTATGCCAGCGATTGGCGTCCGCATATAGAGCACTGAATAGCGTCAAGAGTTATGCATATATTCAAGGCTTTGCCGGTTCCTCCACCTCCTCAATGAGGAAAGGTTGGGCAGTAGCGAGATGTCCATAATAAGGGTCTGAGTGGGCGAAACTGACAGGACCGTCCCTGTCGTTCGAGAGTACACAACCGGTCTGTAACAAGCGTGAGCGGGGAGTCAGGCACTACAGCACATCGAGGCGACTCCTTTTGATCGTCAGATTTGCGTCTTCGACGCGTGCATGCACCTACGTACCACCAGCAGTCTGGTCTTTGACTAATCACAGCTATCCAAACTGGCCAACCCGTTTCAGGACTGACGTAACCATGCCTTCGCTCAAGGCGCTCTGACGCCCCAGTGGTACCCGGACGCCTGCTGCGGCGACGAGGGATGTGAGCCTCCAGTCCTTGTGCCTCTCTCTATTCTCCATCCATCATGTACAGCGTACACTAGTTTCTCAGCCGGCTTTCAGGTTCATTTTCTATTCGAAATCGGGCTTGAAGGTCACAGTGTGGTAGGGTCTGTCCATGGCTGCGGCTGCCGCAACGGGTCCGCGGGTATAAAAGAAGCTCGATGATCATGACGGCCTTCGGAGCGGCCTCACCTGAACAAAGGCATTCCAGGTCCAAAGGGTAAAATCGTCATTGCACTTCTTTTATAACGACGGCAAAAGACTGCAAGACAAGGTTGTCTGGAAAGTGAACACGGCGTCCACTGCGTGCGCTGAGCCGCAAGTCTAACTAAGAAAGTGTCGGATGATGTAGTGTGATCTGGAGAACTTGTGATTTGTGCCCATCTTGACAAGAGATCATAGGAAAGGGAAAGTGATCAGGGATAAAAAATCACGGGATTGGGTCGGAGCGCCCAGGACCTGGATGGACATACTTTCGCTTGGATGGTTTGGTTAGGGCCAGCTTGAGGTGTAAGACACAGGTCGAAGGGTCAATCTTTCGATAACCAGTGTAGGAAGTTTCCACATGTAAACCCCTAGTTACTTGAAATGTCATGTCACGTTACACCATCGGCGGGTAATGAGATATAATGCAAACGAAAAAAACAGGTTTCAGAGAGCAGTAGCGAAGGGGGAGTCGGGCTAGCTCGAACAAATGTTATATTCGCTCAACGGCTCGAATTCCCATGTACCTATCACATCATTCCGTTTGATGAATGTGGTGACTGCATGTTCGCACGCACCCGAGTCGTTGCTGGCCGCAATTTCATCACCAGTGTTGACTACTGAAATGATAACTACTCGGTCAGTTGAATCACTGATATTGTTTCTCGGAGCGCTGCTTGTCCGCGATCTCGCCAGCGTACAGTAGGTGGGCTAACTCATGAAATGTCATCCGAAATTCCGAAATGCGTCTTCGTTTCGAAAAGATTAATTAAGTAGGGTTGTAAAATCAATCATCGGGCAGCATAATTCCATAATAATTCAGTTACCGCAGGATGCCCGCTTTTAAAAAAAATTTTTGGCTGCATTTAGGAATAACACTCTGTACAATGACTACTTAAGTAGCATGCATTTTTCTCATTAATTTTCGATACCCTTAGAAAGTCAACTATAGTTCATGGAAAACATGCATAAAATCTCCATTCTTCTACCCAATGGGTAGGAAATTACCTCTCCCTTCAATTTTATACTCGAAGAAAGGGTTTACTTTAATTTTGAAAAAATTCGAGTTCCCGAATACTTTTGAACTCCACCTGCCGTTACACTTGCATTTAGGGCTTCCAAACTATAAGCCGTATATTTTCCGCGTACGGAAAACCATAAATTGCTCTACGGTACTCAGAGGAGATCATATTGGGGTTCATAATATTTAGCAGTGGATTTGTGCCATATTGTTAACTTTGCAAGTAACATTAGTAAATGCAGAGACATGACGTTTTACGAACGGCCATTTCACGGTATTAAAAAATTTCACAATTAGGAACTTTTATAAAACCAAATTAAACTCTTTTCCGAGTATAAAATTTAAAGGAGAGGTAATTTACTACTGAGTAAACAGGAGAATGAATATTTTTATACAT